CACTGTTGACTGCAACAAGATCATGATTTTATAACGCAAATTAAATTTAAAAAACCAGAAAATTCACAAAAAGCAACAATGTTTTCGAATTGGCTACACAAGGGGGAAACGGCGCACTATTTCACTATACAATAAGTGAGGCTGCGATAGCAATCATTTGTTGTATTGTTGTGTATTTTCAAATTCCCTTTCTATGCTTGCAAATGCCTCCATAATATTATAAGTTGAATTACAAAGATTTTGTTAAAAACATTTATATCTTTTTACTAATTCATACTGATATTGACAAAACCATGAGAGGTAGCTACCTGTCCACATTCAGGTAAAAGACAAAGAATTGAAAAAAGTAACTGCAATATGAGGGCAATGTTTATGGCATATTTATAATGCTTTTACTCAACGCCACAATTGGATACAACTGAGATAAAGAGAGAACGGTGCAGGGAAGAGAAGAAACAATGCAGTTTTGACAACATAATTCTGTAACTATCTGAATAATTTTACTTATTAGTACTTGAGAAAAAAAATAAACAAATAAAAAAAATCCCCAGCCCACTATCCAACCTCTGGAAGAACCTAACTGCATTCAACAAGTTCTATGACTGGTTCTCACTCATTCAAAGTTGAATTTTGACAGCCAGATTAAAGTAATTAGCAATGAGGTATTTTTAATCTATTGCTATAGCGTATCAAAGATTTTTGATTTTGAGGTACTGCCACATTTTATTTTAAAAACATCATTTCACCTTTTTTTGTTTCCAAGGCAAGAAACTAAAATAAAAAGGCTCTGTATTAAAGAGGGACAAAAAATAGTCCCTTTTAGCTACTGTAGTTCTCTTCCTGGCATAGCTGACCACAGAACTGCGTTTCTCCTTTGTCTTCTGGCTTTTATTCTGTAACTGGTTTTATTGCTGTTCTTGAAGGGAGTAGAAAACAAGGGCAACCTTAAGTCTTTTAAGCTAAGGGAGTTTCCAGATAACACATGCAAAGCTAAATGATCTCCATATTGAATTTTTATCTCTAAGCATCTTTTAATATGTTGGATTACAGCTGTATTAGATAGTTACAACCCTGTCACTACTTTCTGTATAACACTGAGGTCCTCCTGCCTCTTAAGCTATAGTATAGAAGAATTCTACAGAATGCAAAATACTTTGTAGGCCAACACTACCCACTTGTTTTTTCTTTTCCCTTCACTCATTAAGGTGGACTTGTGTGTCATGCTTATGGAATATTAAGAAGTGCACGGATTATTAAATTCAGTTTTCAGCAACAAAATATTATTATTCCATGTAATGTGATAGTACCTGGCAGTTCAATCCAGGAGCAGGATTATATGTTTAGATCCTATTCAAAAAAAACAGAAATCCAGTTTCTGCTTCCAAAATCCTACATCTGATTTGAGAAAAATAGCCATTCTATGAGATACAGATTTAGCTGAGCTGTGACAGATAGTTACATGCTCAAATATGAGCACGTGCAGTAGAACTAGACCCTCTTTACCAGTTTTAAAGCATAATCTTTTTTCATTACAGTTTTGGGTTCTATTACCACTTCTACCATTAGTTTAACATATGCTGTTAAAATAATGTCTATATTTGTCTGTATTTCAATTTTTTAATCTGCAAAATTGCAACACTTGCTCACAAAACACCTATGACAATTCATTAATGATTAAGCAGCAATTTTAAACCCACAAAGTTTCAGCCATTACTGTATTGCATGCCAACAAAATACTTCCTATTTTCCTATAACTAATTGGAGAATTTCAGAGTTGATTATTTTTATAACGTCAAAAATGTGATTAAAATATCTCATAAGAACTGTAGTATTGGAAAGAGAGTCCTTTGAACAGTGTAAGTCCTACAAGAAATTCTTCACAGAATACATCATGCTATAGCTACATGCTTATTACACATTCTTTTGCTGAACATTCAAGTGAATATTGTTTGAACATAGTTCTCTGACTATACCACCACCTCACAGTAATGTGCACTATTAGAAACTGTGACATTACAGGACAATTTTCCACCTGTTAGTGCTGTTGTAGTGGAGTCTGTGGAAAGCTTAAGGCCAGGAGACACATGTTTACAAAAACACATTGGCAATTCTGACAAGGCACAGAAATTACCTTTAGGAAGAGAATGAGTGATTTCAGGCTGCAAGAAGAGATGGGTGGAGAACAGTAGATTATTTTTTAATTTAAACATTGTTTAAAGAATGTGTATAGAAACCAAATTAACATCTCTCAACTAAAGCCTAATAGATTGTTATAGTCAAGATGACTGTCAGGTCACAACCGACATTATAACAGAGCATCTGATGAAAACATGAGCCAGAGTTCCTATTTTCTTTGTGATTTTTATCCTTTCCAAGCAGAGCAGGATTACTTTTGTTCATGAATTGTGCAGATTTACTGCCAAAAAAACCCCCCACTATTTCTCTCTAAACACAGAATAATTTGGTGATCAAAATAGAAAGCTTTTAATCATCTTTTCCAAAAAATTATATTAGACCTAAATCAGAACCAGTAGTTTTATTGAGTGATACCAAAAAGAAAACCCTAAGACATTAAAATGCTAATTTCTGCAAGACATTTCACTCACAAATTGGCCTAAGGTCCTTTAAGGAGAGCATAAAGTACAGCTTTAGATTCAATCAGGACACTCATTATTTTCTCTTTTAAATGTCTAAGAGAGCTATGTCAAATAGCTGTCCTCATGCACTGACTTATGTTTTTCCTTAGGGCCATTATCAGTTACGGTCAGGCCAGAGTTTTCTGAATTGATTGAATTCTATCTGTGGTAGCAATTTATATACCCATCAGTACCAGCTCTTGAAGACTGTGAGAAAGAAAAACTATATACCTCATTATTTAGATTTTAAGCAAATAAAAATATAAAATAAACACATTCCTCATTACCTGCTATTCAGATATGTGTCACTGAGTTAAGAATTTTGAAAACACAAAAACACTACCAGAGCCAACTTTAACTTCCCATTAGTGAAATTCCATGCCAGTGAATAATACTAATCTGAAATCAAACCTTTTCTTGAATCAGCCTCTGTAGATGAATCCCACATGACAACATTGCCGAAAACATGGTGAGCATGTACTGCTGAATTTTGCATATTCCATTTGCCAAGGAATTTAGTACAGCTGTTAATCCCACTTTTTCAATGACACTCTGGAAAGCATTGGCTGAGTAACGAGTAATTCTGCATAAAGCCTACAAAAGTGAAAAAACAAAAGTCATTGTTATTTAATGGGATTATTATATCAAGAAAAATAATGGAAAATAAAAACAAGTGGTGACTGTTCCAATAATTTAGGAACACAGAGAATTAATACGGTTTCATTCATAAGACTAAAATTAGGGAGAAAAGCTTCTTATTTTTAGAGACCTGGAATTCTTCAAAATGTATTGCTACACACTCCATGCAGCTGAAACTCAAATATTTGGTACACTAACATCAACATTAGAGTCACATTACTCTTTCTTTTCCCTCTAGAGAATAACAGTGATGGAATGGCATAATCCATGCTTGAGTCTTTTAACAGCACCAAATATAGGTAGCATCAGATAACCCTGTACTAGGAAGGAGCACAGGCAGCAGAAAATACAGAGATGTTACACATCACAGAAATTCTGGTCACCCAACTGGTGGGCATCTTTCCTCTCTCTCTCTCTGCTATGAAATATGTAGTAGCTCACTTTCTAAAGTCTATCTTTAGATCTAGATACTTGTTAAGGAAGAGTGTTTAGTGCTGTAAACATGCAAACTATTCTCCAAATGTCTGATTTAGAAATATCAGTGACTAAGTCAATTCTAACTGAAAATGCAGATAGTGACTGTACTCTAGAGAAATGAGCACAAACCTGTTCAGTGTATACTAACTTAGTTATTTCATAACAAACATTACCAAATTACTGTCATGGTGGATTAATCTCCAAGCCACCACAGCTTTTCCTTTTGATACCTCTGAAAACCTTCAAGATACTGTAACTGCTTTTGTTCTCTCCAGATAAAGAAAATAAGACTCTTTAGACATTTGAAATTTCTTTTTCTTTGGCTTGAATGTAGTGTTGGGATAGGAAAACAGATTATGTCAATTATTTAATTCACATGAAAATCTGAATTGGTTTCGGGGAAAACTTTAAAGGCCACTTTCTTCTGTGAAAAGTAAGCAATATTACCACTTCTTTATTTTCTTTGGACCAGCTATATTTAGAAATTGATGCTTAGTTGGTGTGCATTCAATAGCGAGGTCTCATTTAATATAAACTATAGTCAATTACACCCAGAGAGTACTATAATCAGAGAAAAGCTTTCCATGTAGGAACCTCAGAAACTGCCCAGTTCACTAATGCCCTTAGAAACTTTACTCAAAACACACACACACACACACACACACACACACACACACACACACACACAAAAAGAAGGCATAAAAGACAATAAATCAAGAACTTACGCTTTTTAAACAAAAAATTTACTGACACCGTTTATCTGCTCTGCTCCTGTTCTGCATTGTCCTTTCTGGTCCAGGAACCATATTGATTACAGCCTTCCCCGCCCCCCCTTTTCCAGCACAGCCTCTGTTTCTTAGTACAGTGTGTTCTGTTTCCCAAAGAACACAATCCAGCCCTTCACCCCTAGTCCAAGTTCTCAGAATGAGTGGGCAGGGGGTACACACATTCTCTAAACATATCCTCAAGGGTCACATCACTAGCGCACTGCTGGGACCTAGGGACAGACTGGGACCAAGCAACACAGAGCTAACTTGGTGTGCTAACGTGGCGATGCAGACTTGCCAACGCCTTAGCTCTCTGCTACAGATCTCATCAAACAAGGATGACGTAGTCACAGGCCATCAGATGAGCTCCAGGCAAATCTGGCAGGAAAGGCATGGTTGTCTTCAAGGATCATACTGCAGCTTTTGAGACAGCAGGAAAGCTCCAGACAACCAACAGCCAAGAAGAGAAACTTTAAACTTCCATTAGCCTGTACGTCAGAGCACTCTGCTGTATGAGCGAAACAAACACTTCATCAGAAAAGCAGAAGACAGAGTTTAATGGTGGATAGAAGACAAAGTATCCTAAGTCACTTTCAGTATCTGGAAAGAACAGATGGAGATAGGTCAAAAGGTGGTCAAGCAGGAACTGGGAACCAATGATGAGAAGAGATAAGAGTAGAGCTCACACCATCACCTCTCAGCAGTGGTCCTGGAACACAAAATGATCACAGTGAGTAAGGCACTGGCAGAACCTCTCCTGGAACTGGCTTCTCTGTCCTTGTTTTCTGTACAGCCTTACCCAGCATCTTTTCCCCCAGCAGCTCCAACCCAGCATCATGATCCTTATTGGTCCTTTCCAACTTGAGATATTCTGTGGTTCTCTGACATCTATGCCCTATGCATTGCCTCCTGTCTTACATGCCATACAGTGGTGGGATAGCATTCACCCTTTCAGGATGTACTCTATGACTCTCTCAAGTTTGAGAATGAATGCATTAATGTATCTGCAATACCCAAGTCTGAAACAAGCTATTCGGCACTAATTATTTAAGAAAAAAAAACCCCAAAACCCAAAACAAAACACAACCACCCCTTCCCCCGAAAAAACCCCAAGCATCCAAAAATAAACCCCCAAAAGATTGTGTTGAGCTTTCCCAAATTAGTTTCCACTCAAATGGCTTATGTTTTATTATTCTTCCTCCAGCAGAAAAAGCCATCTCTTAGAAATTAAATCCAAAATTATTTTTTAAAAAATAAATTAAACTTTCAGTATACTGGAACGGAAATAATCTTCCTGCTGCTGAGCTTGTCAGAATGTCACTTTGACATCTTACAGAATTATTTCTTCTCTTAGTCTAGAAAAATGATAAAAAGATATAGCTTTCCTACAGGCAAAATCTGTGATATTTACCTGAGGCGTGTTGGACTCCAAAGTGAGCAAAAATACTGAGACACAGTCCCCATTTGCCACCTCTGACAGGCAAGACAAGGTAAAGTGTCATTTCTTGACTCCAGAGACTGAAGACAGAGAATCTTCTTGATGTATTTTTATTATTGATTGAAATAACCATAAGTAAAATTCCATAGGGCTTTACTGCTGATATACTTCGCAGACAGCCTGCTACCTCTGGGTAAAGATATGACACATGTATTTCTTAACAGAAATATATTTTTACATGTGAATACAGATGTCAGTCAAGAATAAATTCTTCAGGATACATTTAAACAAGGCAGGAATGACTGCATAATAAAATACAATAGGACACTGATGATCTCAGTTTATGTGGTCATGCAGAATAAAGATACCTACATATCTACTGCAACAATTTAATGAATGTAGAAATTGTACGGTAGAATACAGGTGGAGAATATATTAGTATTTTACTTTAAAAATTAGTATGTTACTGAAATCTCTATCAACTTATGTTGGTAAAAAGATCTACCTGTGCTAGATTTAAATATAGAGTCATTGTATTTTTCTGAAGTTAAGATTATATACCCAAATACCCCAGCAGTATTAACACGTAACCATGATTTATATCAGGCATTGAGTAAGAAATGCAACAAGTTCACCCTCTTGTTACTTTAGTGTTACACTACAAAGCAGCAAATAGAGTGTCACCTTAGTGTATCCCACTTCAGAAGCTTCCTTATCCAATTCACTTTGGATGTGGTATAAAATAATTAAACCTCAGACTTCTGATAAAGGACACAATCCCCAAACAGTGGAGGGGGAAAGTCCAGGAACACACGGACACCCAAGCATGTCTGTGCAAAATGATCTCTCTGGAAGAAGGAGATGGAATGGGCTACACGGACAGTAATAATTTCCATGAAGACCAGAAAAACAAGAAACAAAGCAGTTGGACCAAGGATATAGAAGAGCGAATGTCTCTTACTGTTGCAGTCCCCTGCACTGCTGCTTTCACTCAAAGCTCTCCAATATGTTAGTCTGCAGCAAGCCCTACCTCCAGCATGACTAAAACCTCAGTTACTACCCAAGGGAAAGGTATGATCTCCAACAAGCCTACTGCCTTCACAGGAAAAAAATGTTAGTTGAGAACCATTATTTTTTTGCTTTATAGTGTCCACATGTACATTTATACCACAGATCTGAACATGATGTTAGAGAAATTTTTGCCTCAGCAGAACTCAGTGTGCACGTACAACTTGGTCACGTTTTTAAAATGCTGGCCTTCACACTAAAGCATGCACTGCTAAGGAACTTCGACAGAGAAGAGTTAATAGAATGATAAAAAGGCATCTTTCTTACTTAGATTGACACCTGCCATTGAAAGGATGTCCCACAAATCAGCAGAGTTTCTCTAGGGAATCTAGGTAATTATAGCTATCATCATCTTCTAAAACACATTGCTTTGCCCCAGCATATGTCATCCATAAGAGTAGTTCCTGAGGACTGCTAAGTTTTGACAATTAAGTCTCTGGATTTGCATTATAAAGGGAAGAAAAAAAAATCTGGAGGTAAAAGCCTGGCAAAAACAGTACCATTGCAAGTCTTATGACTGCCAACCCAGGAGTGAGAGATGATTCAGTTTTGAACTACAGTATAAATATGGTAACTTATTACACATGTCACTGCATTCAACATTCCTGGTTGAGCAAGAAGCCCATAGAGATCAGGTTGCTCTATCAGAGCTGCAGTGACAAGAGGTCATCCTGGTTTTCAGCTGGGACAGAGCCAGGTTTCTTTTTAGTAGCTAGAATAGTGCTGGGTTTTGGTTTCAGTATGGGATTTGTTATGAGAACAATGACAACATACCAATGTTTTCAATTCTTGCTAGAAGTCAAAGGACTTTGTGTTTTGCTACTCTACAGGTGCAAGGTCGGGGGGGGGGGGGGAGGAATAGTAAAATTAGTAAACTAGATTGGCATTTGGATATGTCAATGGGACATTCCATATAACATCATACTCTGTACATTAATGAGGATCTCTCTCTCTTGTGGGAGCTTTCTCTCTCGCTCTCACACAGGCTCTTGCTCTTCCAGGATAGCAGTTTAAGTTTTGGGATTGTCACTCCTCTGGGATCATTATCCAAGAATGGGCTAGGCTTGCTCAGCGAGTGGTGAGCAACTGTACTGTGAATCACTCATTTGCATATTTTATTTTATCATTATTATTTTAATATTATTATTTTAAGTTTTAATTTATTTCCATTATTATATTGTTCTTATCTCAAACTATGAGTCTCCTTAGCCCTCCAATTCTCTCTCCTGTTTTCTGGGGGGGAGGGAGGCAGGGAGAGTAAGTGGCTGTGTTTGGCTGCTAGCGAAGTGAAACCACCACAGAGGTGAAGGAACTAAGGAACTATGATACTTTCAATCTCCTCACTTGGAAGAGACCACGCAAATGTCAGCACTGTTTGACTGAACTGAGGAATTTTAAAAAGTCTCATTGATTACCAGCAGTGGCAGCTGTGAATGGACACAAAAAGAAAATAAGGGGGAAAAGAAAAAAGAAAAAAAAAAGAGGAGTAAACAGTGCTAAAATAAGCTCTTCAGCTTTAGCTTCCTCTTAAGCATTTTTTCTTACCTTCCAGATAGGATGCATGAAGATTTCCTTCTCATCAGATGCTATGGAATAAAAGGCAACTCCCATAGTGCTAAAGAGAGGCTAGCTACCCATAGTATGAATACTATGGCAAAGAAAAGATTTCTCAGTGGTTCACCTCAACCTTACAGCCTTAGGATGATCAAACAATCTGAGATCTCAAAAGAGGCTGAGGATAGAGAAGGACAAACAATCCTGTCTTTTCATAGTCACTAGAAACCTCATCTAAGGGCAAAGTGTACAAACCATATGGCACTCATGATACTGGACTCTGAGCACATTGCTACAAAAAGCTGTAGTGAGTCTGCACTGATGACAAGTATATTCTTGAGAATCAGAAGTATAACTTCTGCAGCTCACTGAGCAGGAAAAAAGCTCTTGCCTACCACCACTATACTATATTGTCCAAGAAGAGACTGACTTTTCACCAGGGTTAAAAATAAATAAATAAATAAATAAACTAAAAAAGCCCACTGACATGTCCTCTGGTGATCTTTCTTTGCTCAGTGTCTGAATGTAGTTCAGACAGACTTTTTCTCTGGGATATGCTGCTTCCAGGGGCACAAAAAATAGGTGTCACTCTCCAACCAGCCCTTACAAGAGGAGCAGCTCTACAAGCCTGGTGTTGGAGTAAAGGGAATGCTGGGTAATCACCGAAGCAAAGTTCTCCAGATGGATAGCAGAGAAACAGGATGAAAACTTCAGGGCAAGTTGAAAGAGATAAAAAGAGCTATGATCTAGTAGTAGACAAATAACAACTGTCCAGTCCAATGATTGACAATAACTGAAGGCACAAGATACAAAACATCCTTATGGCAAAAGTACTGGTAGGAGAGAGGATTGAGCAGACTTGTTTAAATATTCAATAAGTAAAGGAAATCATAACTCCACTCTCCAGCCTTTTGCTGTATATACAGACATGATACAAGCAGAAAATTCACAGATCGAATGGTTAAAGTCTCAAATAGAGCCTTTCTGAAAAAGCAGCCTGCCAGCCAGACACACAAGCAGGCTTAAACTGTAAATGCTCTGTGTAAAGGCTACACATATATCTTCCATTTTTAGAGACTGATAATCATCTACTCATAAAAGTTCTAAGACAAAGTTTTTACAAAGAATTTCAGGTGCCACAGAACAAAGGCTTCCATAACATGTATTTTGCTAAATAAGTTTACTGTTCTAAAAGGTCAACACATTTTCCCAGTATTTGAGCAGTTTATTTCCCAGCTGAGATTCTGCCACAAATAGACAACGAGGTAAATGTTTAATAAATACATGTATTTTTTAAATTATAAATTTATTTTACCATTCATCTCTTCAGCCACACTTCATATATATTTAATTTTCTCTATTTTATGACTTCAATGCTAGATGTGTCTAAGTGCATACTACTGCATCAGCAACAGTACCTGTGCGATTTGGGAAGTCTGAACTCACTAGTGAGCCTGAGTTCTACTCAGGAAATGAGCATCCAGTTATCACACTTCATTTAATATAAATCAACTTATTGTTCAGTTCTAAAATATTACCTGTATTGGCGGGTAAGGCTTTTATTTTGTCAAAAAGACATACGGTTAAACTCACAGCCCTGCTAACTATTTTCTGTCTCACAAATCTTTTTGTTCCAAATCTTTAGCTTGCATGTCATAGCTCTGTTTGTCTTATTATCATCCCATATTAACTTACCAGTTGACTTACAACTGACAATTTTATAGAAAGTGACATTATGATTTCAAATATGTCTTCTAAGTAAGTCTATGATAAAAAGAATAAACGCTTTTCATGTAAAACATCATACAAAAAAGAGATTTCGATTTTGAAATAATTTAATTGATAGTCTGAAAGATTAAGCTTTTCAAACATAACTCATGACCACTAGCATAAGAAAATATGTTCTAGAAAAGGCTGAATCTCAAGGACTTTTCATAAGCACTGGACTGTAATACACACACTTTTCAATTTCAGAAAATTTGTAAATATATTTTAACATAATCTGAAATATAAACATACAGAAAACATGCTCAAAAACATCTCCATTTCAATTTAGGCTGCTTTTCAAAATAAACCCCAAGACATTTCAACATTTCAAAAGGAATTTCCTTACCGAAACAGCAGTTATCTTCAGAGAATCTACTGTAGAATGTGTGAAAAGGTACCACAAGACAGGTCCAATTTCTCCTGTAATAAATCCTCGTGCATGGCATGAGAGAGTAGTGCAAACATTTTCAATGATCTTTGCTGCCAAGTGGTTCACTACCCGGTCTTCCTATAGAAAGGGGAGGAAAGGAAAACTCATCTGCAAATGTTTCTAATGTTTCTGATTTTATTTTAAACTACTACCTATGCCCATGTTTTATTCCATGTATATTGTCCTAGTGTGGTTTCTTAATTTTATTTGATATTTGCCAAAGTGATTTCATAAGAAACCTGAACTTGTGACAAAGTTATGTTCATAGATCCTTCTTCACCTCACTTCTACTGCAAAGAGAATTTAATACAAGTATAATCTAATACAAAATCTTTCAGTTCAAAATGACCACGCCAAATTAAATGTAGTCACTAAAAAATGACAAGGTTCTGTTATGTTAGAGGTGTTTCATGATCAGTGCTTTATGAATTAATATCTGTGTATCAAAACTCATCACTACAAGAGGCTCTGAATAGCAAGATTATGAGATATACAGTTACATTAGGAAAAATAAAATTAATTACATTAAACCCTCTTTATTCAGAAAAACGAACAGCCTTCTGGGATTAAAAAAAAAAAAGTAATTTAAAAAAAAAAGCTTTCTTGAAAGTCAAGTTATACCAGAACTCCCTTCTCCTCTTCTTCTAAAACAGACAATCCTGACAAATGTTTGAGATAAACATTGGGTCCCATTTACTACATCAATTCGTAAGTTTCTGTAAGGGATTCCAAGTCCTTCATATTTTTAGTACTAATCAAATACATTTATCTGCAAAATCATTTGTGGAAAGCTACTGTACATGTAGCTTTAATATCTACATAATCATATTCATACTACAATGTCTCCATGGAATAAAAAATATCATGTCAGAATAATCATGAGTCATGAGCACATCATGAACATCAAGTGGCAGCAGTTCTTTCTGAAGAAAACTGTTTTAGTCCAATGGAAGCTTAACTTAATACAGATCACTTAAACGCAGAGTACCTACTTCCCCCCTCTCTCTCTCCCCTCGCCCTCATCTCCTTTCTTTACTTCTTTCTTTCTTTCTTTTTTTTAACTCTGCTTTCACTTAAAAGCACAAGTCTTTACCTTAGCAGAACTGGAAGACTCATTGCTGGTGGTTTTTTGTCTGTGTGTTGCCTCACCTTATCTCAGTCTTTAACTGATTAAGTGAAATCTTTCAACAATGTCTCAAATGGCATTCTTGAGTTGAGCAAAAGTGAGTTTTAGTATAAGGAGGACAACCAATTTAATTCGTCAAGTCTACCTCAATAGCCTGGCTTCACAAATAATTCATCACAATATCTAATTGATTTCTTTATTAAACTAATCTCCACATTATCACACTAACCTCTGGATTTCTGACATTTAACTTCACAATTGGAACCGCCAACAGCTGTGAGCAATGATAATGAAACCTTTCAGAAAGCTGTGCAAAAGCCTTCCAGAAGGGGAGAACTTACACTTCATTAAAAATATATTCAATATCCACTCTTCCTTCTGCTGACTTAGGTATTCTAAAATACAGACATTGATGTAGAAATACTTGGAAACTCTAGTATAATGCTGTTTTTTAAAAAAGCTGCATTCATCATTTTCATGCTAATCCTTCCTGTTCTCCCAAAGAACTGCAGCTCTACTCAAAATATTTAAAAGAAATACCAAAGCCGATTCCCATCTAAACCAGTCACACTCTTTTATAAAACTCTACTGAGTTCTGTGGTCTTCCTTCAGATTTACAGCCCTGAAACCAAAGAGGATTTAGGTTTCTCTGTTTTTGCAGTTTTTATTACTGCAATATAATGTATCATTTCAATCTATTGAACACCTAAATAAACAAACATGTTTACCAAAACTAAGTTTCTAAAAACTTTTTATAAATAATGTTAATTTATAATCTTTTTCTGTGAATTATACTTCTGAGTTGCAGTTGGTTGTTTCAGTTGGCTTGGGGGTTTTTTTTGTACAGTTAAGGTAAAAGTGCATGGATTTATCAAACTGACTAGAAGCATTTAAAATCAAATCCATAATTGAAACATTAATAGTCAAGTTAAATCTCTCTCATATATGAAGTGATTACTAGGAATACCAATTGGGACTCCACTGATACTTTAAGCAGGCAGAAACACTTAACAAATGTACTATAATCTCATTCATAAATCATAATCAAAGCATTATCCAGTGGATAATAATTACGAATGCTAACAAATTTCCAGATGCAATCACAGTTCTTCTTCACAAAATTTGGTCCTGAGGATGTGCTTTATTTCCCTTCAGCCACTGCTGAGATGAGTTATGCCCTATGCCAGACAGACCCGCTACTTTGGCTAGAAAAAGGTCATGTGTCTTCACAGTGCTCTACACTCTCAGTGAGGCTGTCAGAGTAATTCCATTTGCTGCCACCTGAGATTGTTCATCTCAGCTCCTCTGGGATCTATTCCTGAGCACTGTCTAAGCAACAAGACTTGTACCATTTTCTGCTTAATTAGCTCTCTGGAAGGGAAGCCTGATCTAAACTAATATTTGGCCTCTTAACTAACGTCACCCTGTCGTTTTACCAGGACATCAGCTACACTAGCAAACAGAAATGGATCTTCAAGATATGAGTAAAGCAGTTCCATGTAACAGTTAACCTCTGGCCATATCATGAACTGCATCAAATCTAAATCTATGGATAGAACTGCATCAAAAAGAAGCACATAGTCTACTTTCACTGGATTTACATATCAACTTTATAGTTTTATACAATGCACTTAAAGATAAAGCTCCAAGTTTTCAATCATGTGGAATGCTTGCAGATGTATCTGTTTCCAGTTAAAGTCATGGATGTTTAGTGAAAATGAGCCCTGAGCGAGAAAGCATATATCAAAAGGATAAATAGATGTAAACGGCTAGAAGATAACTTCTTTTAATCAAGTCTTTCTATTCCAGTTGTGCAGGGAGGAAAAAATGCAAAACAAAGTCATCAAACAAACTACCTTCATTTCTGGAAATAACTCAATCTATTGGATATTTTTATTGACTGTTAAAAACTTAACATTGCACTAGAAGTTTTGGGGACACTTAAGACACATTCACTAATGTGTTGGGTTTGTGTGTGTAGGGGTGTGGTTTTTGGAAGGAAGGGGCTACAGATCCCGTGAGAAGCTTCGAGGTGTGGTTATTAAGATGTGGTTATTATATCTCATTAACCTACTCTGATTAATTGGAAATAAATTAATTTTTTTTCCCCAAGTTGAGTCTGTTTTGCCCATGACTGTAATTGGTGAGTGAATCCTCCCTGTCCTCATTTCAACCCACAAGCCCTTTTGTTGTGTTTTCTCTTCCCCATCCCACTGGAGGCAGGGGAGTGGGTGAACGACCATGTAGTCTTAGCTGCCAGCTGCAGTTAAACCATGTCAACTAACCAACAAACTACCTAAAAATAGCATAATTTCATTTAAAGGTTAAGATAAAATATTTTAGTATTTTAGTATTTTTTTATATTATACTGCATATCTTCAGTAAAACCATAATACTGAAACATTGGAAAAGCTGAAAGGTTCAGAAAGTAACACTGTATTCCATCATTATTCTAAATCAACTTCCATACACTTCTTCCTTTAATCTAAAAAGACAGAATAAAAAGAAACTGCAAACATAATGCAGTAAAGCTGTATCATTGCAAGCATTCATGATTATAAGAATTAAATCTTAATTTGGCAACAGTTTGCAATATAAAGCCTTCACAGAGAAGAAAGAACATGTAGAAATAAAAATTTTAAACACTTCTTGTGGGGGAAAAAAAAATAAAATTCTGTCAGTAAACTAGAGAACTGAGATCTAAAAAATAAATTGAATTGATAATGTATATGACTGAGATCATTAGTTGTATACTACAGGCAATTCTGTCAGTAAACTAAAAAACTGATGTCTAAAGAAGAAATTGCAGTGGTAATGTGTATGATTCAGACTATTTTATACTATACACAATTCTGTCAGTAAACTAGAAAACTGACACCTAAAGAAGAAATAAAAGTGAGAATATATATGATCCAGACTATAACTTGTATAGTATAGGCTGTTTTTATGAGAAAATATTTAAGATTTTATTCTCCTCCAAATTCTCCTTTCTCCTTCAAATTCACTGTAAAGTAACTACTCAAAGAATATATGTTATAAAGCATATTGCCTTATATATCGGCAATTATTTTAAAAGTTATCTTTTATTATTAAAATTCCTCATCAGTTCAGAACAAAAACCCCTCAGATTTACATCTTGCTCCCTCATAACGAATTCCATATGAAAGAGGGAAATGTGTACTATATAGTTTACCAGCAAGCTCTAATTTATTAGAAATCTTGTTTTACCTTGAAAAATGCACATCCAAGAGACAGAAAAATATCCTTTGTAACCTCATTCACTATTTCTGATTCAAACACATTCTTCAGGTGCCATGCTTTAAAATGAGAGGATAGTGTACATTCTAAAAGACAGATACAGCTAATTAGCTATAGCTGTATATATTAATTTGTCCATGCAACTGTATTGCCAATATATAATTTTTCCAGGCTCTATGAAATTATTACTGAAATTGTATAGAATTGTGTACCTTATATTTACATGCCATTTGTAAGCAGAAATGGACAGATACCAAGCTCCCAAAAACTTTTTCAATGGTTCCTCTATCACACAGGAAGACTTAAAAGAAGGTTTGCACACAGTTTCTGACTCCACTGCCTAGTTTCAGTGGAGGACCTCCATCAAAGGAACATAATCCAGACCAAGTCAGATTAGGAAACTATAAGAGACATCAAAAGTAGTTTGGATATGGATATCTAAGAAGACTATCTGGAAAAAAAAAAAGTTTTAAAAAGAGGATCTGAAGGAAGGGAGGGGCAAAAGTAAGGAAGAAAACAGTGGAAGCAGAAAAGTGAAAGGATTGACTGGAATATAAGTGCGAAGAGGGGCAAATGTAAAGCAGAAACTAAAGGCGAGATTTCACTTAGTTAAGACTAGGTCAAACCTTAAATTTGATAACAAAAACCAAAAAAAATATGCAGAATCAATGAGGAGATTCAAATAAGAAACAGGATGATAAATCTAGGGTGAAGGAGACAAGAGGAAGTTTAGCAATGGAGTTCTGAATAAACTAAGTAAAAAGGTTGAAAGGAAAAGGGTAGCCACATTAGCATGAGGTACTTTATATTAAATAAGAATAGCCTTTCTGAAACAGAAATATCTTTCATTACTGCATAAGAGGAACTGTAAGGACTAAGCACTTCAGCTGTAGAAATTAGAACCCTGTTATCTTAAGAGACTGCAAGCAAATATGTAAAAGTTGAACTTAGACAACCAATAAAGATGCCTGGAACAGGAACTGTGTGTCACTGTTGGAAACAGTTGTTGGAAAAGATTAGTAAATAAATCTTGGAGTATTTACTACACAGGTTCTCACAGATGGCAACATTATACCGAGACCAAACACTTCAAAATTGGGCTTATCATTTATTTATTTATTTAGGAGTGTATCAATTTCCTTATTTTGACACAGCACAGAACACACCAGTTCCTTTCATGAATTGAAAATCAACTTCCCTCTCAAGTTAACAGCACTGAAGTGCAAGAAATATGAACTTGTGATCCCCTACAGATAAAAGAATTTCCCAATCTTCTACTCCCTCATTCTAAAACTCCTTTCACCTTTACATACACTCTTTGCTGCTGTTAGAGTTTCAGGCACATAAGGTATATGAAAACAACACTACCTGCATTTTCTGAACATCTTGTTCCTTTACAGGCAAATAAAAGGGACACATGCTCATTTCAAACTCCTTCCTGCTCTACTGTTCTGTTTCAGGGGGCAGTTCTGCTCTGATTATGACAAATCTTAAAAAACTCCAGAGATCCAAGTACACTTCAGAGCAGTTCATAATGAAACTGAAGGACAATCAATACAAAACTCAAAGTTATATAAACTATAGTACCTAACTACATAAATTGTTCTTATTTTCTTGAGTTCATATTAAATGCATCAAATAAAGCTTCTTAACTGTCAGTAAAGACTGCAAGTAAGTATTTATAATGTGTACACGTAACACTGTGGTAATTCAGAATTTATTACAAAAAGTTAGTTTGCCATTTCCATAAGCACTGAGACCATATACAAATACTAACTCCAGAAAACATACTGTGCTACAATTAAATAAGCTACATTAAGAAATCATAATTACATTTAATTAATTACTAATGTAAGGTTACAAAGCTTACTTACATGTAATAAATTGTGAGATCAGGGAAATTTATTGAAGAAATAGCAGATTACAGGCTACAATGTAAAATAAAGAAAGATAACAGCTAAGATCTTAAGCTGCAGTCAAAGAACATTAAGCACAGTGAAGGCAAATTTAGATGAGATTTTCAGGATTTTCACATCCCGTTCTTTACTACTCCACGCAATAAAATTGACACAGAACCTCATTTTAGTTTTAAGTCAGACTAGATTGTTCATTTATTTTAACTATTTCTATTATCTCCTATTTCACAGCAGGATGGGGG